GTACTTGGATTCAGGATGTTCATCACATATGTCTGGAAGGAAAGACTGGTTCGTCAATATAAAGCCCTCAATGAAAAATATGGTAAAATTTGCAAATGACAATACCCTAGCAGCTGAAGGTATTGGTGATGTTATGATTATGAGGAAAGATGGCAAAAGGTCAGTAATCTCCAATGTGTTGTACATACCAGGCATGAAGAGCAATTTTTTCAGTATAGGGCAGTTGGTCAAAAAGAATTATAAAGTGTCAATCGAAGATAAGATGATGAGAGTCGTTGATGCAAATGGGAGATTAATCTTGAAAGCTCCTATGTCTCAGAATCGAACCTTCAAGATTGAACTAAATATGATGGAGCACAAGTGCCTTTCGACTGCAGCTAGCAGAGATGAATGAATATGGCATTATAGACTAGGCCATCTTAACTTCAGAGACATCAAAGATTTGAAGAGAAGAAATATGGTTTCAGGATTGCCAGAAATTGACATTTCAAACGAGGTATGTGAGGAATGTGTGCAGGCGAAGCAACACAAGAATAGCTTCAGCAAGGATGCAGGAAGCAGATTGAAGGCTAGTCTTAAAGTCATATACTTTGATGTATGTGGACCAATCCCGGTGGATTCGATGGGAGGTAACAAATACTTTGTTACATTCATAGATGATTTCATTCGAAAGCTATGGACTTACCTGATCAAGAAGAAAAGTGAAGTGATTGAAGTATTCACCAAGTTTAAGTCTATGGTCGAAAGACAAAGTGGTTGAAAGCTCAAAGTTTTGAGAACTGATGGTGGTGGAGAATATGTGTCGAAAGACTTTGACAAATTATGTGAAAAGGAAGGGATTTTGCATGAGGTGGTGCCACCCTATACTCCCCAACAAAATGGAATTGTAGAAAGGAAAAATCGAACCATCATGAATATGGTGAGAAGTATGTTGAAAGGCAAGAATTTACCTAAAGAGTTTTGGGGTGAAGCTGTTTCGACTGCAACATACATTTTGAACAGATGTCCTACAAAGAAGCTAGAAGAAATTACTCCAGAAGGATGTTGGTCTGGTGTGAAGCCTAGCTTGAGTCATCTGAAGGTATTTGGATCTATTGCACATAGACATGTGCCAGATCAGTTGAGAAGAAAACTTGATGATAAGTCAAGTCAAATGATTCTAGTTAGATATCATTCGACAGGAGGCTACAAGTTGTTCGATCCAGTGAAAAAGCAGATTGTGATCAGCAGGGACGTGATCATAGATGAGTTTAAAGAATGGGATTGGACTGATAATGTCAACAAAGATTCAGTGGGAATCCTTCTTGAAGAGACAGAAACTCAAGTCAAAAGAGAAGTTCGACAAGAGGAACCAGCAGATATACCAAGTACAAGCAGGCCTCAAAGAACAAGACGCATGCCTGCAAGATTACAAGATTGTGTGATTACATCAGATGATGTAATAGATAATTAAGGTGAGCTGGTACATTATACTTTCTATGCAGATGTCGAACCCGTTAATGTAGCTGAAGCATTGAAGGATTCGAAGTGGATAAAAGCAATGAACGAAGAAGTAAAGTATATCGAAGACAACAACACTTGGTCACTTGTCGAATTTCCTCAAGGCAAGAAGGCAATTAATGTCAAGTGGGTATACAAAGTGAAAACAAATTCGAAAGGTGAAGTAACTCGACACAAAGCAAGACTTGTGGCGAAAGGATTTCTACAGAAAGAAGGAATAGACTTCGATGAAGTTTTTGCGCCTGTTGCTAGGATCGAAACAATCAGGTTGGTTGTTGGTCTAGCAGAAATAAACAGTTGGCACATATGTCAGATGGACGTTAAGTGTGCATTCCTAAATAGATCCTTAGATGAAGAAGTCTATGTTAAACAACCAGTTGGGTTTGTGAAACATGACGAAGAAAGAAAGGTGTACAAGCTACATAAAGCCCTGTATGAATTGAAACAAGCTCCAAGGGCTTGGAATAAGAAAATTGATAGTTTTCTAAGGGAGAAGGAATTTGTGAAGTGCACAACTGAACATGGAGTATATGTAAGAAGAAGCAAGAGTAAATTGCTTATACTATGTCTCTATGTAGATGATTTGTTGATAACAGGTAGCTGTAAAAGTGAGATCGAAGACTTCAAAGGTGATCTCAGCAAGGAATTCGAAATGTCTGATTTGGGTGAGATTTCATATTTCCTTGGTATCGAATTCTACAAGAGCGGTAGAGGTTTGATGATGCATCAAAGAAGATATGCTGGAGAAATTCTCAAAAGGTTTGAGATGGAAGAATGCAATTCAACTTCGACACCTGCAGAACCAAGACTGCAACTGTCGAAAGATGCAGATGAAGATGATGTTGCTCCAACCCAATACAGAAGACTTATTGGATTATTGAGATACCTTTGTCATACAAGGCCTGACTTAGCATATAGTGTAGGTATGATAAGTAGATTCATGCAGAAGCCAAGGGTATCATATCTAGCAGCAGTGAAGAGGATACTAAGGTATCTCAAAGGAACTTTCAATTATGGCATTTTGTTTCCTGCAGTTGATAAAGGAAAATAATGCAAGTTAGTGGGATACACTGATTCGAATTGGTGTAGTGATGCTGAAGATCGAAAGTCAACAGCAGGATATGTGTTTATGCTAGGTGGTGCACCAGTTGCTTGGAATTCAAGAAAGGAACCAGTAGTGGCATTATCATCATGCGAAGCAGAATACATAGCTGCTTCTCTTTGTGCATGTCAAGCAACTTGGATGGTGAACTTGGTCGAAGAGATAACAGGGAAAAACCATGGAGCAATTACCATGAAGATAGACAGCATGTCAGTTATTAACCTGACGAAGAACCCAATAGCACATGGTCGAAGTAAGCACATCGAAATGAGGTTCCATTATCTTCGAGAGCAGGTAGCAGATGGGAAGATGAATTTGGAACACTGCAGAACTGAGAATCAGATTGCAGACATCATGATGAAGGGAGTGCAACTTGAAGTATTCAGAAAACTAAGAGCCATGATGAACATAGATAATTTAGATACAATGAATTAGGTGGTGTGTTAAATTGTAATCCAATGTGTCGAAACTATGTGTCGAAAAGATTTGATTTGTTTTAGATTTAAATAGATTTGATTTAAGTTTAGAATAAATTAGATTTGATTTAGTAACAAAAATATATTTTGGGCTTTGGATTTAGGGTGTAAGCTCGGTTATAAATAGAGGGAGTAATCGCTATTTTTGTAAGCAAGTCAAGCAAGTCATTCACAGTATTTTGCTGTTGTAAAGTGAATAAGAAAGTTTTCACAGTTTGTGAGCAGAGAGAAACTCTGCAGAAATTATTTGTCTTCTTTTCTTTGTTTGTCTCATAATTAAATTGTCATTGTGGTAGAAATTCATCATAGTCTTTTGGTGGATTTCCAACACTTTTGATATTTAAAATTTGAATGACATTTCTGAAGTATAGATTTTTATGCAGGTTCTAAATGTACATAACGAGTTATGTAGATGCTTCTAGATTGCATAGGCATATACTACTCATGTGAAAACATTGATAAGGAAGCTATTTTTATTTTCAATCTGTCTATATCTCTTTAACAGACATTATACAAAGTAATATCTGATAAAATCAGGTGCAATGGAGTGAAAATATGTCGCAATTCATTGCAAAGAATGTGGCAATTTTCTTCATCCAAATTGGAACATTGTATCTTTGGTGTTTATTTCTTTACAGGCGTTGGCAATCACAGCCGAGGACAAGCTGCTCTTCCTACTGTGTAAGCAGTTTCCTCAGTGAAAACAGGTAGAATATGATATCTCTACTCATACTTCCCTTTCGTCAGCACTTAAGATGCACAAATTAATAATGGATACACTTATGATAAGCACAAAATTATCAATGTATACAGTCATGATAAACAGTTTCCTCAGTAAAAACATGTAGAACGTTCTCAGGTTCGTTCTTAATCAATATGCATTTTGTTGTATGGGCATCAATGTCTGTAAAATGTTGTTCTTATTTCTTTTTTTGTTCTAATTAATAACACAGATTTGGTGAATATTAGATATATTGTTTTAGAATTGTTTGCACGTGAATTTTTAAAAATGAATGAACAAACCATTGTCTATTCCAAGTTAGAGAGAAGTATAACTCTGCTATAACTAAATTAACTAAATGCTTAATGGCTTTTCTTTTACAGGTGAAAAGTGCCTTAATGATTTTGAAGCAATTTATTCATCTGCCAGGGAAAGAATCGTGATTTTCAAAAGTGGATTCATGGGTGCAGAAGTAGGTATTGTTGCTGCTCGGAAACATTATTCGCCCAGGTTAACATGGGTGAACTCATTCAATTTAATAGTTCTACTTATACAATATAATGGTTCATAATTCTGTTAATTAATGTTGCAGTATGCATCAAAGGATGTCCGTTATCTCGCTCGGGTCCTCATCGAGTATGATCACAAAACAAATATAGAACTATCACTAATCTTTTGTACATTTGCATACATTTTGAAACAAATTTTGGTACTCTAACTGAACCGTTTCAATTTTCTTTTTAGTTATCAGATGGCAGTATTAGACAAAACAAATTACATAATTATTTTTTATTATTTATGTTATTAATATTAGATGTAGAATAAATAAATATTTTTAATTATTTTATGCAAAGATATATTTTAAGTATCCAAAGAGATATATATTTTATAAAAAATGAGATTTTATTTGATACGGATTTCAAATTGTAAATAGTTATAAAATATTTTTTATTAGTATAGTAACACCGTTATTGGGGGATGTTAGGGTTAATTTTGGGAGGAAATTTGAATATGGAGATGTAAAAATTGTTTCGGACGCGCACGTTTGGCATTTCTAAGAGATAACTAACTAAATTCAGTTACCTTAGAATTTGCCTTTAAAAATGTTATTTTTCACTTTCACTATGGTTGGTCTGGTTAACAACAAATTCTGAATCAGTGTCGAAATTCTAATACAAGAGATGATCAGTGCCTTGTTGGAATGACCGGGCGTGCTCTGTTCGATGCACACAAATTGCACGCCGTGCTTGAACTCGAACCATTTTTACTGTCACTGGCAAAGAAACCAAACCCCATAACCCTAACTCAATGCCATCAAATCCATGCAAAACTCATAATCACTCAATGCATTTCACAAACCCATCTAGCCAATACCCTTTTGAGTTTCTACTCAAAATCTTCCAACTTTCACCATGCCCACCAACTGTTCAACAAAATGCCTCACAGAAATGTTGTCACTTGGACAACCTTGATTTCCTCGCATCTCAAACATGGGTCTGTCCCAAAAGCCTTGAAGATATTCAATCAAATGCTTCTGTCGGATGAGAGACCCAATGAGTACACTTTCTCTGTTCTGCTTCGAGCTTGCTCCAACCATGATTTTTGGAGTGTGGGTTTGCAGATTCATGGCTCGCTTGTTCGGTTTGGCCTTGATAGAGATAAATTTGCTGGGAGCTCTCTTGTGTATATGTACTTCAAAGGAGGAAATGATTTAAGGGATGCGTTGCGTGTTTTTAATGGATTGTTGGAGAGAGATGTTGTTGCTTGGAATGTTATGATTTCTGGGTTTGCTCAAGTGGGTGACTTTCACATGGTGCAATGGTTGTTTTCTGAAATGAGGGATGTACAAGGGTTGAAGCCTGATAATAGTACCTTTGTTAGTTTACTCCAGTGTTGTTATTTGTTGCTAGAAGTAAAGCAAATCCACGGGCTTGTGTACAAATTTGGTGCTGAAATTGATGTTGTGGTTGAGAGTGTGATGGTTGATTTGTATGCCAAATGTGGGGATGTGAGTTCTTCCAGGAGGATTTTTGATTCCATGGAGGAGAAGGATAATTTTGTGTGGAGTTCGATGATTTCAGGATATTCCATGAATAATAGAGGAGAGGAAGCTGTGCGTTTTTTCAAGAATATGTGTAGACAAAGGGTGAAACTTGATCAACATGTGTTATCTAGTACTTTGAAAGCTTGTGTTGAAATAGAGGACTTGAACACTGGTGTTCAAGTGCATGGCCTAATGATAAAAAACGGGCATCAAAATGATTGTTTTGTGGCAAGTGTGTTGCTGACTCTCTATGCCAGTTTTGGTGATCTAGGGGATGTGGAAAAGTTGTTTAGAAGAATTGATGATAAAGATATTGTAGCATGGAACTCTATGATCTTGGCTCGAGCTCGGCCGGGTCACGGATCTAGTCATTCTATGCAACTAATGCAAGAGCTTCGTCGAACAACTTCATTGCAAATTGAAAGTGCCACTTTAGTTGCTGTTTTGAAGTCTTGTGAGAATGAGTCAGATTTACTTGCAGGTAGACAAATTCATTCACTTATATTGAAATCAAGTTTGTGTCATCATACTTTGGTTGGCAATGCACTAGTCCACATGTACTCTGAGTGTAGACTTATCGATGATGCATTTAAAGCTTTTGTTGACATTGAATGGAAAGATGATAGTTCATGGAGTTCTATTATTGGAACTTATAAACAAAACGACATGGAATTAGAAGCTTTAGGCCTATGCAAAGAGATGCTGAATGAAGGAGTCAATCTTACAAGTTATAGCCTTCCACTATGTTTTTCAGCTTGCTCGCAACTATCAGCTATATGTGAGGGGAAACAACTCCATGTTCTAGCTATCAAGTTCGGCTACAACCGTGATGTCTACGTTGGCAGTTCCATTATAGACATGTATGCTAAATGTGGGAACATTGAGGAGTCGGAGAATGTTTTTAGTGAACAATTAGAGCCAAATGAAGTGATTTTCAATGCCATGATATGTGGATATGCACATCATGGAAAAGCACAACAGGCCATAGAAGTATTCAGTAAGTTGGAGAAGAATTGTGTGGCCCCCAATCATGTAACTTTCTTAGCTTTGATGTCAGCTTGTAGCCATGCAGGCTATGTAGAAGAAACTTTGCATTTGTTTACATTGATGCTTGACAAATACAAGATTAAGCCAAAATCTGAGCATTATTCGTCCCTGGTTGATGCCTATGGTCGGGCGGGAAGGTTGGAGGAAGCTTACCAGATAGTGCAAAAGGATGGAAGTGAGTCGGCATGGAGAACGTTACTTGGTGCTTGTAGGAATCATAATAACACAGAAATTGGAGAAAAATCTGCCATGAAGATGATAGAAATGAATCCCAGTGATCATGCTCCATATGTTCTTCTTTCAAACATTTATAATGCAGAGGGAAAATGGGAAGAAGCTATTAAATGCAGAGAGAAAATGGCAAAGATTCATGTGAAGAAAGATCCAGGAAGTAGTTGGTTGGTTTGAGGAGCACTGAGACTCGATGGGGGAAAGTGTTCATTATCACCATTATTTTTGGAGGGCATTAAAACAAACTTTGAATGCAATTTTGCCGAGTGTCTTATAAAAGATGGCTCTAATCACATGAACATTCTTATCCTACAATTTTGCCGAGTGTCTTATAAAAGATGCAATGGAATACAATAACTATAGATATAAATACATGTTGTTGCACTTGGCAAATACTGCTTTTTTTTTCCAAGAATGACCATACACAATAGTATGAATGCTGCTCTGAAATGATTCATGGATGCGAATGGCCTAATAGACAACCTTTGTTTCAAGAAAATAACATGCACACAGGCATGGACATTCTAAAAGTCATTTCCAAACCTTGTTTGCAAGAACATAATTATTACCAATTGTGTAACATTTTGCTTTAATGTGGGGGTTGTTTTTACTTATCAAAGTCACTGTAATAACATTTACTGTTCCTTTACAATTTGTGCCGTGCCGCAAAATGTTATTGAAGCCATATATGCATGTTCAAAAACTACGATTCATTTACCACTTTGTTAATTGATGGTTTGATTCATATAGCAATGATCCTAGTATGACATTCCAAAATTCTTTAACTGTATAGTACAAAGTAGAATGAGAGTTTCGGTAGCAATCAACGGTAAAGAAATATCTCTCTACAATACCATATTTAATTTAAACAAAAAAACTAAATTAGAGAAACAGTGATATTTTCGATCTAAAGAAGACGTAATGTAAGACATTTTGGCCATTAATCAAAACTATAATTAGAACATTCATGTTCCATAACCACACCCTTCCAAAGTTATAAATGGATATAGAATGCCCATTTCATCAAGGAGCTATTCTGCTTCAAAAGAAGAACAAATCCATATCATATAGAAGGAATGGGTGGCATAAGGGCCTTAAATATCAACATGTTATAAATATACAGCTACTTGGTTTCTTTTGTTTCTCAATGCATTTCCAATGGCTCGGATCACAACATTCTTATCCTACAATTTTGCCGAGAGACTCATGATCAATTGCCTAAAGGAGCACAATCCGGTGATGTTTGACTTAGTGATAGATCAAAAGATGTCACAGTCATGGAGATGCCACCCCTTTCACAATGAGATTAAGGACCTGAACTACAGATGTAACATTACTGAACTGTTGTGGGAAAGAAAACTCTTTGCATAAAGGAGCCTATAACACGGTGGTTTACTTGCAAAGAAAGATATGCTACTGAAATCTCTTGACAAGGGAAACAAAAGTCCGTTCATAATTTTGTCTTGGCTCTTGAACTTGTGTGATGCATTATTTTGGTCTTTGTAAAGATCGAATATACTATTCTCTCAAATCTACAAAATATAACAATGAGTCATGAACACATACTTGTATTTTGTTCTTACAAAAGAGAATGGACAGGGGTGACTTATGTGTTAGACAACTGCGTGATGCTGATTTATTTGATAGTCCATGAGGCTTGCTTGTGATGCGAAACTACCCTCAGTTCAAAATGCAGTCACTGCTAATAATACATAAAAAAAAATAGTTAGTTTAATTCATATAGTAATGATCCCAAATGCATGTTACATAAAAAATGTATGGTAAATCCTACCCAACATTCCTTTATTATATAGTTTCTACCTTAGAAAGTACTCTTCATTGCACAAAAAGGTGATTGAAGAAATATAATATAAAACGCTCCGACCAGAATGTTTAAGCACGTAGCAGAGTAAACAAACATGAGACTTATCAAAGAGAATAAAAAGCAACATAAACAAACATGAGACTTATCAAAGAGAATAAAAAGCAACAGCTTCTATGGGTAGGAGACAACTCAATATTTTCCTCTGAAATCTTGTCATCCACATTATCACCCAAGTGCTGCTGAACAAGGTTGAAGAAATCACTCGGCGTTATCCAATCATGAACTAACTACCCCTAAATACATAAAACATATTAACAATGTCACCCATAAAATCCTAAGACGGCCCCTGCTAGTTGAAATGGTAACAAAATCTGGAAAGATTAAGAGACTTATCAGAAGCATTTACTGTAATATAAAATCCCAAACTATGAGTTACAACAAAAGACGTTATATTACTCCCACATTGGTAAAGTGACGAAAAACATAAACGTTTATATAACCAAATGAAGGAAACAATAAGCACGACCTTACTTGAACAGGATCTGTTCTATAGGCTCGTACTACTGTGTCCTTGATTTCAAAGGAGACAGGAACATAAGTCTGGTGGATGAATCTAGACCGTGTGATCAGAGCGTGATTAACGGCCAAGATGATCCGCATGTTGTGGTCATCATCTCAGCAGTAGATGATCGTTCTCAGTTGGTTACACTGGCTGGGGTGGTCACACGGTGATCTGACAGACTCTCAATCCCTTTTTTCTTTAGCAACAAAATCGATTTTCATAACAAAACAACAAACCCAGTTTTTTGATTTATTGAGAAAGGAGTGACATTTTTATTAAACCCAGTTTTTTGATTTATTGAGAAAGGAGTGACATTTTTATTGTTTACCTTGCTTTTGCTTCCTCCCTCTTCAAAGAAAGACCCAAGCTCAAACGTTTACGGAAAACTGCTTTTGGTTTCTTCTCTTTTTACAGAAGTGCTTTGAAGGTGGTAATGAACTTCAACATTGTCACACGTTTTGGGCCAATTACTTGAACAAACCTAGAGATATACACTTTTTTATATTTTATTTTTTTAAAGGATTTTGAGTTTTCTTAAGCATTATTGAATTTCATATTTCACTATATTAGTTAAATAAAATTAGACTTTAAAAAATATATAAATAAGAAAACAAATTTCTTTCCAATAGTAATAATCTATATAAATTTTTGTTCCATCATAAAAGAAAAATTTATAGAGGCCATTATTCAAAAAGAAACAAAATTAGTGACAAAAAATAAAATTTTAAATGTTAAAAGTGTTTAAATGATTCAGACTTTCTGTATCCAGAAGATGATTCAGACTTTCTGTATCCAGAAGATGGTCCAAACTTTCTGTATCCAAATGATGGTTCAGACCGATTCCCTGTTCTTCTGGAATTTTTAAACTTCCTTTGCATGTGCTTCCACAGCTGATTGACTCTTCTGGAGAGAAGAGACAATTTGTCTTCTTCTGATGAGGATCTATCAAAGTTTTCTTTTGTTGCATGCAAGACTTCAGATTCATGTTTTTTGTTAGATTTTAGGGCTAAAGACTTACCTTGCTTCTGGGGCTCATCATCTTCTAACTCTATCTCATGACTTCTGAGAGAGCTGACAAGTTCTTCTAGAGAGATTTTGTTCAGATCTTTTGCCAGTTTGAGAGCAGTGACCACGGGTCTCCATTTCTTTGGTAAACTTCTGATGATCTTCTTTACATGATCAGCAGTTGAGTACCCTTTATCCAGAACTTTTAGCCCAACAACCAGAATTTGAAATCTTGAGAACATTGTTTCAATGGTTTCATCTTCTTCCATTTTGAAGGCTTCATACTTATAAATGAGCGCAAGGGCTTTGGTTTCTTTGACTTGCATGTTGCCTTCATGCATCATTATCAAGGAATCAAACATGTGCTTTGTTGTCTCTCTGTTTGTGATCTTCTCATACTCTGAGTATGAGATGGCACTCAAGAGAATAGTTTTGGCCTTGTGATGATTTCTGAAGTCTCACTTTTGATGATCTAACATTCTTTTTCTGTAAATCTTCTGATCTCTTTCATTAATAGGATGTATGCACCCATCAATCACCATATCCCAGAGATTAACGTCATGAGACAGAAAGAAACTTTCAATTCTGTCTTTCCAGTAATCAAAGTTCTCTCCATCAAAGATTGGAGGTTTACCGATGATTCTGTCTTTCTCATCATGGTAGTCATTGTTGATGTTCTGACTTGGCCTCACCATAGTGTTTTTCTTAGCTTGGATCTTTTATTGACACGGTTAAGTGTTTGAACTCAGAACCAGGCGCTCTGATGCCAATTGAAGAATGGAAAAACACAAGAAATGAGGGTTTGAATTGGGATTTTTAAAACTTAAAGTAAAGAACAAGTTGGTTATCCTGGTTCGTTTAAACTCAAACTACTCCAGTCCATCCGCCAAGGTGATTTCGCCTCTCTTAACAAGGTCTTAATCCACTAATCAATCTTGATTACAAATATACTTTGACAACCGTCAAAGTCTTCTTGAGTATAAACCACAAACTAGTTTTCTCAAGGAATTTCTCTAAACAATGTATGAATAAACGTGTACAAGAATGTTTTCTAATAAAACAGTATCACAAGGATGTTTTACACAATTTGAATTTTGTACATTTGAGGAAGATAGTGATAGCAGTGTTACTGTGCGTGTGAAAATCATAAATGATTTATCCTCAAAGCTTTGTTTAAATAGGTGAAGCATGTAGGAGCATTTGGAAAGTTGATCAATGGCAATTAAGGTGCTTTCCAGAAATAAAGATCTTTGTTCCCTTCCAGCCATTACTCTTGAAATGGAAATATTTGATTTATAACGCTTCAGAACATGCTTGCTTCAGCAGATGAAGGTAATTGTTGCTGCTTGCTTCAGAACTTTATAGACAGAAACACGGAGTCCTATTTGCAGCGTTAGAACTTCTATCAGAGATGTTTATAATCAGAGTTGAAACAACGTTTTAGCGCATCTTCTGATCTTCTTCCATCAGAACTTCTCTGCAAAATAGAATATAATTTTAGGGAGCATAATTGTTCTTTGCGTTTGTTATCATCAAAACTCTTACAAAGGTTGTAGAATTAAACTATGTTATAACATATGGTGTTTATGTTCAACATACTTCAAAAGGTAATATGATTCTGGTATATTTGTATGTTGATGACATATTATTCACAGAAAATTCTGAACAAGAAATAGTTGAGTTCAAGAAAGTTCTGATGAATGCGTTTGAGATGACAGATCTTGAAAAAATGAGTTTCTTTCTAGGGGTGGAGTTTATGTACTTTGAGAAAGGGATCATTTTACA